AGGAGGCTGAGGGGAGACCTCATTGCTCTCTACAACTACCTGAAAGGGGGTTGTAGTGAGGTGGATGTCAGTCTCTTCTCCCAAGTAACAAGCGATAGGATGAGAGGAAATGGCCTCGAGTTGTGCCAGGGGAGGTTTAGATTGGATGTTAAGAAAAATTTCTTCACCGGAAGGGTTGTCAAGCATTGGAACAGGCTGCGCCGGGAAGTGGTTGAGTCCCCATCCCTGGAGGGATTTAAAAGACATGTAGATGTGGTGCTTAGGGACATGGTTTAGTGGTGGACTTGGCAGTGCTAGGTTAATGGTTGGACTTGATGATCTTAAAGGTCTTTTCCAACCTAAATGATTCTGTGCTTCTATAATTTTGAGGCTGGGCAGAATCTGAGTCCCTGCTGTGCAGCTATGTTGTGAATACATTGCCAATTATTCAAGAAGCAGACTGGGCTGATTCTCTGAGAAACAGTCTAAAAGCAATGCAAGGCTGAGGTAGGATTTTGGCACTTGGTAGTGAGAGGGCGGTGGTTACAGTAGCACCACAGTTAGCTCCTGAGCTGCTTCCATAGGGCACCCTGGGAGAGGGGATGAGAAAATCCATGAGTTTTAATTTAGGGGACCAACTGAATTTAGTAAAGCTAAGCAGATTTAAATCTGGTACTTGGTTCTGACCGATTTACATGGTAACATTTTTGCCCCCTTGTGGAGTTTAATTTATGCATTAGGGCTGTTGCAAGCTGAAGGAGCGTTTCTGCTTCCCCCTATGCCTGTTTCAGCATGGCTGCTGCAGGAATCCCACTCCTGGAGCTGCAAGTCAACTATCGCTTCCACTTCTTCTAAAGCTAGAGAGAAGAGTTAGCCTCAATGTTCGGAAGCCAGCAAAAGTTAGGGCTGCAAACCTGACACTGATTTGCAGAACTGCCAGCTGAGCTGAGTATTTCTTCATCTTGCTAAGGAAAGAAGTTATCCCCTGTGAAATGCTGGGTCTTCTGTTAACAGAGAAGACTGTTGCACAGGACAGGTGATGCAGCAGATTACTTTTCCCTGGGTTCTGCTGTTGCAGCCTACAGGAGGAAAGGCAGTGATGCTTCTTAATGGTGTGTGTGTACAGAATTGAGGGCCATCCACAATAGCAGTAAATCAGTGTTTCCATCTCTCTGCTGAAAGAGATGAAATTTTGTTAAAGCTCTAAATAAAGCCCAATATTCAGCTTCAGTTACCTAGCGTGGATAGACTAATAAGAAGATACTTCATTGTGACCCAGTAGACTTGAAAAACAGAAAATGTTTCTTCTGTTTATCGGTGATGTGATAAGAAGATGCATCACTCCCTCTGGTAGCTCTAATGTTTTACTTAACAAATGTCTTACAGACCTTTAATCCAGAAAGTATATAGGTGAAGTTGCCATATAAGATGACACGGATCATTTAACAGCCCTCAGGATCAGTAATGCATGCCGTTATGCAACAAGCCATACTTGCTCATGGTTACCTAATTTCCCTTTAGTATGAATAATCCTCCAAAATATATCCAGATATTAGGCATGAGTCCAGGGACATGGATTGTTGCATAATCCCTAACGAACACAATGATTTATATAAAAATCTTACTGTGATTTCAAAGGAGATAGTCCTGTTTGTTACTTAGGCTTTTACTGTATCCTGTGTTCCCCTGCATTCATTTTAAGTGAACATATATAATGGAAAACTAGCGTGCTCAGGAAGAGACAGCAAGAATAAAGGGAGGATACTTCAGATATAGGAAGGAGTGGCATGTTTCGAGAGAGCTTGTTGTGTACAAGGAAGGTTTCAATTAGGTTTGAATTACTGGAGGAAGAGGGAAAGTTTTGAGAGGAGGGGAGCAAACGGATTCAAGAAGAGTTTAACAATTCTTCAGATAAATGAAATTTGCAGAAAGGGAGAAGAAAGTAGTGTTTTTTCTGTGGCTTGAGCAACAGTAAAACCGCAGACACTTACTGGAGAATTTTGGTTGGAGAACTGCCGGCTGTCTGGTTAGTCTGGTGTCAACCTCTGTCCTCTTTAAACTGCATAGCATACAGCCTGTTGTATAGGATTTACCTTAGAGTGGGGCTGGAATTTCCATTGGGAATTCTTATTTCTCTTGAACACTGAGAAAATTTTGAGCTAGCTCTCTTACCTGTTTTGTTTTTCTATTATGAACCATACTGCCACCTTGGAATCTGAATGTCCCTTGTCAGTTATAAAAGGACTTGCTTTATATTTAGGATTTCTTTTGCTATGTCCTTGGACTTTCACACTAAAGAGGATCCTGAGGTCTGGCTCCTCTGGTCACCCAGATGAGAGGCCTGGTTGGAGAATGCTTTAATTCATGTCTGGCCTATGTACCCAGGTTTCCTGCTATGGAAATCAGGATGGTGGGGTAAAATGAGGAGAAACTTGTGTGTGTCTGGCTCTTCCCTCAGATGGAGTCAGGCCATAGCAAGAATGTGTTCAAATCCAAGAGATGAGATGCACTTCCAGCATACCTATCTCAGGTTTGACCTTTTAAACCATATAGTTTGGAGCTGGCTTCTACCTGACATGATGGGATGAATAAGTATTAATGGTCTAGGTGTGCTTTTATCTCTTATGAATCAACATGCTTTTCCTTAGTATAATCAGAGCTAAAATTAGTCTAATGTTCAAAGACGACATGCAGCTCATTAAATTCACCAGTAATGAGTTAAACTGACAATGGACTGTGTTCCACTTCCCCTAGCTAAATGCCATCCTCAGAAAGGGAAGTTAATGCCATGAATGCTTGGAAAACAGGTGGTGAGATATTTCTGCACTGGGATTATGATGGACAGTAATGATGTAAGAGCGGGTACCTGCAAGATAATCCTTGTTTTGATGGTTTTGTTTTGTTTTTGTTTCCCCCCCCCAGATCATGATTCCATATGAAAATCGAACAAGTGAGGTGATGTACAATAAAATGAATATATCGGAGCTTAGTGCCATGATTCCACAGGTTGGTTCAGGATAATTGCAAAACTATTCTTTTAATGTCTGACCTATATAATTAAAATTGCCTTTAGTGTGCAGAGTAGCATGTTAAAGGAATATCATTAGTAATGTGTATACTCAATTACAATATATGTTCTTTTAAATACAGTTACGACTTTAGTGAGGTTTGAAAACATATGTAATGACAAAGTGCAATAGTTTCTAAATTTTTAATAAGTAAAACTTTGAAGCCTTTAGTCTCAAAGGTGCAACTTAGTTAATAAATAGTTTCTCTTCATCACCTGCTTTAACCAGCCTTCTCTTTGTCATTGCAGTTTGACTGGCTGGGATACATCAAGAAGGTGATTGACACCAGACTCTATCCTGAGCTCAAAGATATAGGTCCTTCAGAAAATGTGATTGTCCGTGTTCCCCAGTACTTCAGAGATTTATTCAGGTTACTCGAAAATGAAAGGAAAAAGTAAGGATCTTATGATGGTTTCACCCACACTTATGAGGGGACACCAAATGCTGGGCTTTTCCTGGGTTTTTCAGGTGCTTCAGGTATTCTTGGAATCAAGTCTCTAGGCAAAAGATCTCTTTGGTTTTGTCTGAAAGAGGATATAGATATTAGCTTGTGTGTAGCAGGAGAATTTGCAGTTTCAACACCTTTCTTTTTTTACGGAAAACACAGGTTGCAGTAAAACTGCTCTTTCCAGACGCATTCAGCATCTCTTACTTGTACAGCGTCTTGTATCTTGTGAAATCGTTTACACCTGTAGAACATAGGTGTCAAATGCAGGTAGCTCGGATTAAATGTAGTAGATGTGCTTTGCACAGGGAAGCAAGACAGCTTTGGGCAGTGTGATGAAAAAGTATATGTGAAGATGACATCCCATTTTGAAACATCATTATTGATGACATCTAAGTGATTTCTGTGATAATGCTGAGGCGCGTTGCTGAACTTCAAAAAAAAAAAAATGTCGTTAGGCTGTTGTCTCCAAAAATCATTTTTTGCTGATTGTACAGTATGGCCACAACTAAATTTACATTTCAGAAAAAAAGACTAATTCAGAAGCATTATTGTTATATTGTTGCTCTATGTCTCCAGTGACAGAATGCTTACATTAATTCATAGTACCTGTAAAAATAACACACAGATCAAACAATAAGAAAAATAAAAATAATTGATCTGCCTACAGATCATTAAACATCCTTTCTCTATAAAATTCAGACAATATCGTTAGTGTGCCACCAATCTTGATCTGCTGAAGAAAGTCTTCTAAATGGTTTGGGCTGTCCATGCTTTGTATCTCAAAGTTAGTTACATTGGTGGGGATAAAGCGGTGATTTAGAGGATGCACATGTAGCAAGACAACAGAGAATTAGTTATTCCCTGTGTACAAATACACCTACATGCAAATATATTCTGTAACTACAGAGTAAATACCTGGAGACTTTTTCCATTAGCGTCTTATTCAGGGAAAAATCTGAGTATTCAAGAGGAGTTAAGCCAGCCTGAGTGTCATGGCGGGGGGGAGGCTGGAGTAATGACCAGAAAGAATGGCAACTTCAGTCTTCAGCAAAGCTTGAGACCAGCTTCCTGACCCGCAGAGGTTGGGGTGGGGGTGGGGGGCAAAAGCAGTGTCTGATTTCCAGTATATTCACACTGTATATCTTATAGCTGATAATGGTTTAGGCATTTTCTGCTCAGTCTTACCCTGAGAAATTTGCATCATAAAATGTAAAAAATGGCAAATAGCGCTAAACTCAACCTAAGCAGATTTAAAATCCTTGTACGTAAAATCCATCCAAACAGTCACTGCATGATGACAACGGTCATGTTTATCTATTAGAGGATAATGTTCATTACTTAAAATGTCACAGTCTGCTCCAGAAATAACCTTGTTATCTGGCCTGAGAAAATAAGGAGATCATCTTAATGCATACTCCTAACAATGAGGTCTTAACATTTCCCTGTAGGGTGAACTATGAAAGCTTAACAAGGATATTTTCTTTTAGGTAATCTCATTTGTCATTCTCCATATGGTATTTTAAAGGTTAAATTAATGCAAACAACATGAATTTGGTTTGTTATAGTAAATATCTAGACCAATTTCCTAGTAAAGCATTCAAAGATTTTAGATTTGCTCCAGTGATTAGAATGTGAATTACCCTCTCATCATTTCAGGAGATGCAGCATCATTAGGAGAAGCAGGTACTTTCACCAAGTTCATATTCTTTTCAATTACAAACCTTCTATCCATAAATTATACTTTTATTCCAATGCCTTGTGTGTCCCCCTCCCAGATAAGCACCCTGCTGGCATGGGTACTATTCAAAATGGCACGAAAAGATGGTTCATGCCCCAGTGATCTGGCAAAGTACTCCGTGAAGTTTGTTTCAGGTGGAGGGAAGAACGGAGCGAAAATTAAGTCTGGCTATAGAAGCAGTTCTTGGTGATAGAGGTGACAAGTCGTAGGGACTCACAATCATCATATTAAAAACTGCTCCCTTGGAGCAC